CTGACCATGTTCATAGGCTCCCTAATAACCGCCTTACCAAGTTAATCTGGGAAAAAGTCCCGACAGGGAGAAGGCCCTAAGGACGTCCACAAATGCGATGGAGAGATAATATATGGTCAGATTTGAGAACAATGGGGCTACCCACTGACTTAAACATCATGGACGACCGTTCGAGGTTGTGCAGTCAGCCAAGACCCACCCCGGGTTGTAGTGCTACCAGAAGAAGAAGAAGAAGAAGAAGACATCAATTCACTACTCTCGATCAATTCGGTTCGAGTCATTATATATTTACTATAAGCATGTTTAAATTAAGAAATAACATGAATGCTACAGAAACGGTCATTGATAGAATAGAAAGAAGAGGTTTAAACTTGTTAAGAATGCCTGATGAACGTTGGCCTCAAAAACTTCACAGATGAAAAAGAGGTAGACCTCGATGCTCATGCAATGAAAGAATTAGAAGAGCGATGGAATCAAGATGTTTGGAGGAGGAGCATGCCTTGGACCGGGAGGATTGGCGGAGGAGAACGGGAATACGGCGATAGCTGTCTCCAATATGTATTATAAATTAAATTAAAAACTGCATTGAGAATAACTAACTAAATATAAGACATTAAAAGAGAAGTAAAAAATTAAAAGAATATCTGTCACTAAAAGATTCGATTTTCATTAAAAGTCATAATATCGATAATTATGACAAACCTGAATTTCACAGGTTTGTTATAATATTACTTGTTACTGCTATTTTTTTTGTTTATAATCCAATTTTCAGTCCCATATGCCATAATACTTCGCACTAATGTTTTATAAATCTGTGTTTTTGTCTTCATATTTAGGTGTCTATCCCACCATACTGTTCTTTTTTCTCCAAATCTTTGTGTAATTTATTCCCCTGTTGTTGCCTTTCTCATGATTATAAACCTCAAGCATTTAAATTTATCCTTTCCTTTGATTGTTACGTTGTCATCAATTTGTGGATCTTCTCCCAGTAAGCACAAGTACGTACTTAAGACAAACTAAGCACGTACTGATGGGACATAAAGTATGTACAATGTACATACTTTGCTGTACGAAATACGTACTTAATACGTACATAAAACGTACATTTTCCAAATTATGGTACGTACCTAGTACGTACTTAAGGTACGTACCTAGTACATATTGAAGGTATGAACTTGGTACATACAGCAACATGGTACATGTAGCAACAACGAATTGTTTCGGTCAGCAGTTTCGAAAATACGTATAGCCCTGATGATCGCCAACCTTCGGAACGAAGACGGCACTTGAAGAAGAAGAAGAAGACTTGGTACATATTATGTACATCCTATACACACTTATGATGATTTATGTAAATAAAAGTAAATACAGGTGAATATATTTTAATTTTTTTTTAATAAATTCAATTTTTATTCTTTTAAAAATAAGAAAGAAAGTTTTTAAGCGATCCCCGACTCTCCTCAACCATCGTCCAATTTCTTGCTCCGCCACCTTCTTATCACTACATTTTTGATACAAAAAACACTCGACTGAATAAAATAACAGGAAACCACACTATAAGCACCAAACACAAAAAATAAGTAAAAAAAATCTAAATGAAACTGTCTTGCAATGATTTATCACATCACAACTGTACTCGAGGTGAAAAATTCCTAACTACATAAATTAGATTAGGTTAACATAACCTAACATAATAAATATCCTTTAACTCTTCTTTCCCATGGTACGTACTTAAGACGTAATAGTACGTACTCTTCTGTACGTACTGGTATGTACCTCAGTGTACGTACTTAAAACGTACATTTTACATCATGTACGTACAGTACCAAAATTGTACGTACTTAAAACTGTGCTGTTTGGGCTATGTCTTCTTCGCTTGTAGATAGGTACTCTGTTTTCACGAGTTAATATCTAGGCCAGTCTTGGTATATTCTTCTTGTAGTTTCTTCATCATGTAGCTGAGGTCGTCTTGGTCTTGTGCAATCACTACTTGATCGTCTGCAAAGCCTAATTTATATAGGTATTCGTTCGTACCGGTACTCCCATGCCTTCGCATTTTCTTTTCCATGTAGTCAAGACTTTCTCTAAGTATATTTTGAATAGGGTTGGAGATGTGGAACAACCCTGCAGGAGCCCTTTTGTTGTGGAGAAGTCTCCTATGATTCTTGTTCCCACTTTAAGGGACACTGTATTCCCTTTATACAGAGCTTTTGTAGCTTCTATAAGTTCCGTCTGTATTTCTAATTTGTACATTGCCTTCCATAGTTCTGACCTTGATACAGAGTCATAAGCCTTTCTCAGGTCCACAAATTCCAAATGTATGTCTCTATTTTTTGCTTTTTTCTTTTGCAACAGTTGTTCCAGTGTGTATATGTGGTATATGCATGATCTTCCTGCCGTGAAGCCTACCTGATCCTGCCCGGATCAGATCAGAAAACTTAAAATGCAATTTAAAACTTACCTTCTTATTCTTTGGCTTTTTCCCAATACGAGTCGCCGTTTTCGTCCTCCAAAGCACTCGATTTTCCCAGTCACCTTCTTCGAGTCTGGATCTATCATTGCATTTTCTATGATGTTTTTCATGTCGTACAATATATAAATAATTATTTTCTATACTTATAGAACGCCTTCCGCCATTTTTGTCCTTTCCTTATTTCTATTATCGCCTTTTTTTTGGTTCTGCTCCTAATTGGAGAAGAATGTTACGAATTGCGTGGATCGATTAAAGGCCCAATAATGTAATTTTAAATGAGCTAAAGATCAGCAAACGGCTTTCCAGCGAAGTCCATCTTCAACAATTAAAATACTTTGGACCTGTTATGACAGTTTTTTCGGTTGGTTTTAAACATTTTTGTTTATGCAAATGCACTCTATCTTTTGGATTTAGGATTATTAATGATGTGTTTTGTGATTTGGGTATTTTCGATACTAGATTATTTTAGAAGTTGAAAGAAGCAACTTTTCTTCACTGTCATCAAATATATAAGCCGTTGCCACTGCATTCTTTTGACTATCCTCTTTGTGATCGTTCATTGAGATTTATTTTTATGTCCATCCACGCCACAGGAATGGAAGCAAAAATAGTCCACAACATAAACCAAAATACCCAAAAAATAACATCCTCACCTGAAGACATCATAAAAATTATCCACAACGTCTTTATGTCTGCTGTTCCTGGATATAATCCACCCCTACCCCACCTACACCCTCTCCACCCTCGCCCATACCACCACCCTCTCCTTTACCCCCACCTAAACCAACCAAATCCACACCAACACACCCCACCCCCCAAACTAATCCCTAAAAAGTTTACTAGCCAAAGAAAACTCCTCAGAACCCTAAAAAATCACAATCTCCTCGTAGATATCCCTTTCGACCTGGAAACGGAACCATCCGAAAATCAGGTCATCCTCTACACAACAGGCCCTCTTCCCAACATAAAAGAGTGGAAGAAGGGTCTGCGAGCCACAGCCACATATCCATACCAAAGCAAAAACCCTCAGAATACATAGACACAAACAACATCACACCAAAAATACTCGCCACACCAAAGAAAACACAAAAAAATACACACACATACACACAGAGCAATATCACCCGACCCCGTCCACATCCAAAGCAGACACTCCATACCATAACCCTCCACGCCTCAATCCCTGCGATCAAACCCCTACTCGCACACTAGACACAATCTCACCAATAGACACACCACCAACACCATCTCCCACACACACACACCCAAACAATAACCGTCTTCTCCCTTCCCCGACAACCATCACCCATCCAAAGTTACAGAATCGAGCATATCCCCTCAGATATCTGCCAGCAGAGACCCTTCTAGACATAGACATCTTCGATATCACGGCAAAACTCCGTAATATCACTCAAGATGACGCCATCTTAATCACTGCACGCCAACCCAGCAAACCCCAGAATTTTCATCCCAATTCAAATAATTCTCAGATTTTTCATTTAGTTATAGCCCGCGTCGCAAAAAACCTCTCTAAAAACAATCGAGGGTAACTTATCCGAAATCAATTTTCCGTACACAAAGATAGTTCGTATAAATGCCCGTTCTACTAACCAACTTACCTCTTATAAGTCTTCATAGATTCTGAATCTAAATTAGCCGAAGCACTTTCGTGCGATATTGTGATTGAGGGAGAACGATTAACTTGCGAGATCCCAAGATCTAGCAACTCTGTCCCTATTCGGTCGAAATACTGCTCGAAATGCTGCAAAGCGGGCATTTCAATAGCGAATATCCAGAGAAATCATTTACTTGTCAGTTCTGCGAACTCGAACATAGGTCTACTGTGTGTCCCACAGTATATGCTTCCAAATAATGTTTTTACTCAAACCTTGAATCCCCACGTAAGATTGACGATGGTGGTAGCGTGATTCTACCCTGTAGCTGTCTTTTCAACAGGCCAGGAACAAAGTCATATATATACCTAATCTATGAACAAAGTGATGCGTTGAGATTGCAAAATTCATCTCCGGATGACTGTAAACCAGAAATCCCCGGTGGTGGCGACCTTCAGCACCGGAGGTGTAGATGGAAGCCTCAATGTTGCTTAATACCTGCAACGAGTAGTGAGCTCTGCTAATGTGATTCGTACCACTGGCAATTAGATAGGGTTGTCGATACGACGCAACGTAGCAATAATTTTCATTTATTATTTAATTATTATTTACATAAAGTTGCGAAATTTCAACACCTCTTTCTTCATTGTGTTCCAGAACTCGATTAACTAGTTACTGTAGATCAATATTATCCTTGTCTGACAGCTGTACTTATTTCCATTTCATCAGAAAGCACCTTCCTCTTCTTCCTTAAGGCTGTTTGTAGTTTACGCCGCGTTAAAAAGTTACTTTAAAGAATTCTCCAACTTTTTAATCTATTTCTTTGTTTTGTCGACGATACATAATTTTATATGATAAAGCTTTTAGGACGAGATCTAATAGCAATTTAAAAATTAATACTAAAAATTTTCTTTCAAATTTTTTATTGAATTATTAAACAACTTCAAGGTTATATTCACATAAAAATGTTTTAACAATACAATTTATGAAAATAGACTTCAGAAAAGCTTGTAATATATAAACATTTTTTTTAAATGTAATAAGTAAGTACAGTAATTTTTATTGATTAAGTTATGCTAAAAACAGTAAAGCTTTATAAAATACAGGCATATTATCTGGAAATAGTTGAAGGAGGTCATACAGAATTAGGACAATATTTTATTAAATTTTGTAATTGGCAGTTTGAACTCCTTTTGAGTATTGTCTAACAATGCCATCGTTTGAAGCATAATTATGTAAAATAAGTATAAAATTTAAGTCAATAAAATAAAAAGATATTTAAATTGACCGGTAAACTTGTTCTACATATCTCTAAAATCAGTCAAATATAAAACTTGTGATTTATATCTTTTTTTTTAAAGAGAAGTTTAAAAACAAATCAAAAATAAGAATACTTGATGAGATAGACATTTAAATTAAACATAAACCTGAATAGGTGCACAACATTTAAGAAAAAAAACTATATAATTAAACATAAAAAGCTTAAAAGTTATCACAAGATTAATCTCCATGTTATCCATGCTGTAGATCAAACCAAGAAGTGTAAGGTTGAGTTAGATTTAATTTTCCAAGATCTATGATAATCTAAAACAAAAAAGAATAAATAGGTATATAAGTTTATGGTACAATGCACAAATTCGTCTTGAAAACAGATAATAAAGAAATCGTTAGTAAATAAAGTCATTAGTAATATCAGCTTTGAAATTTCATTCAGTCTACATTTTGTCAAAAATATTTCTCTACTGTACCATATTAGAAATGTAAAAAACGTTTTTTCGCATTTGGACGGATAATTTATTAAATAAATCGTTTATATTTTAGCGGCAATTTACAAGTGGTAATTTTTATTTAAAGTTTGCCACATTTTTGCAGAAGAAGTTGTATGACAATTTCAGTAATAATAATTTACTTATCCTCTCTCTCAAGTAGTCTAGGAAAATTATAATCCAAAAATTTAGACTACCTGATTTTATTATTTGTTTACATTCGAGGTTACACAGTTGTTTTTAGTATGTTACCATCAAAAAGGATTATTCTTTCGCTATACAAGCCGTGACGGGCAGGTACGTTTTAACTGTGCTGATTTGGATTAAGCTGCAAGATGTAGTAAATAGTAAATCAACGTCGACAGCGATTAGAGGTCGCTAAAGGCATACTCTGGTAATTATTTTACTATAATTGCCATACCTGCCGGTGCGTTTGGATTTGGTTTTAGTCTTCTTACAAGTCTCTCTGATGACGGGTAGACCCAGAAACACGTATAAGATAATGGTGAGAAACTCGAATTAAATCCAAACGCAACTGTCTACATAGATAGTAAATTGCATAACACAGCAAGTTTATTTTATAAATTTTAACGACAAATGTGTTAATTGAGAGACGAATTTTTGTGGCAATATATCATTAAATATTTGGCCGCTCACGACCAAGTGTTTAGATTGTAGAAAACGAGACAATCCTATTGAAATTCGAATTTAGTTCTTTCCGATGAGATATACTTTTTAAAGTTTCAACTTGAGTTTTTCTCAATGTATTCTTAAGCCAAGCTACTGACTGTCATCATTCATGCTTTATAAATGTTTGTTCAAGTAAAGTTCTACTAAAAATTCTTCACACAAAAATTTCTGAGCAGAAAATATTTTTTTTTGTATTTTAGCCTTGGTTTTGAATCTTTAGCCACGTAATTACATACAAATATTAGTATTTATTTATTCAGGATTGTACAAGGAGGACACATTTCACGCTAAGGGGTTCATCAGAGCGACTTCATTTTAACACATAATACGTAAACAACGGTTAGATAGGTGGGCAACAAATACGTACACATAAAAGGAAATATCCATTTAAACGATCAAATTTTTCATTCACAACTTTAATTTAATTTTTTAGAGAAATACTAAAACGTAGAATAGCAATGACTAAAACTACTTTTATGAAAATGAAGTCATTTCTTTGCAATAACCGTCTCAGTTTCGAACTAAGGCAAATCATGGTTAAGTGCTATGTTTGGTCTGTACTTTTGTATAGTGCAGAAGTGTGGACGCTAAAAGTATTGATTATGAACAAAATTGAAGCGTTGGAAATGTGGGTTCATAGACGAACGCTGAAGATACCTTGGACAGCAAGAAAAACTAATGAAGAAGTACTAAGGAGCGTCAACAAAGACAGAGAACTGCTAAAGACTGTTAAACATCTAAAAATGTCTTATCTGCGACATATAGTAAGGGGAAGTCAATATAAAATTTTACAACTGATCCTTAAAGGCAAAATAGAGGGCCGTAGAGGTGTAGGAAGAAAACAAGTTTCTTGGTTAAAAAACATTCGTGAATGGTCTCAGATACCAAATGCAGGACAATTATTCCATATTGCAGAAGATCGAGAAGCCGTCGCAATGGTGATCGCCAATGTCGGATAGTTCTGATATGGCACGCGAAGAACAAGAAGAAGAGAAATACCATAATCAATTTAAAAATTTTGTATTATATTCACTTAGTAGTACATTTAAGTTTATTGGCGTCTTTAAACCAGCTTTCAGCAATTGTTGAAGCAGCCACGTACTTGTATTTTGACATGTAAAGGACAGTTTGGTAAACAATATGTAATTTAGTTCAGCTATACTACTTCCACACTCATATCTGGCTACTTTTAATCTTAGGATGGTCGACTCTGTATTTCTACTTAGTGCAACAACTTTGTAAAGTTGGTTCGCAGCCAGTGTTGGTTGTAATTTAAACAAATTAGTGCCTGTAGTTTCACCAAACTCAATCCAACGTGTATCCCATTTAAATTTAATATGCTGTTTTACATATGCAAGAAGATCACATGTTTTAAATTCTTCAATCAATATATGTGGGTGCTTTAGTGGATTTTTAGGTATTGAATCCGCCATACTACTACCCAATATGTCTGAATGACTCTTAATCCATACGAATTTAACAGCTTATGATAAAGCTGATAATTCAAGTAACTGTTGAAAAATTTTTAATATGAATATATTGCTGTTAATTGTGTTAAAGATTTTTAATGCATTTAATACTGATAATGAATCAATGCACACGACAATTTTGTTCCACTGGTTTTCCCATCACCATTCAAGAGCTTTATATATAGCACATGCTTCAGCGGAAAAGATGCTGGATTGATTATTTACACTAAATGCTTTTTTAGTCTTTATTTTTGGTAAAAAGTAAGCACTGGTTGTACATGTTACTACTTTTAACCCATCTGTATAGATTGAAATGTAATCTGAATAGTTACTTAAGATCTCCTTGAGAATATTATGACAAAATTCAGTTTGGCATTTAGGAATAATAATATTTGTAGATAGAACACTTGTCAGGTGTGGTATGTCAAATTATTCCCAAATACGATTATAAGCAGACTTTATTAACTTAAGTTCATTGCAAGTTACAAATGGTTTTTGGGTGGGAAATTCTTGTTTAAGAAGAATGTAGTTGTTAAATCAGCCGTATTTAATTGATTAATTATTTTAGCATTATAGGTGCACCGATAATGTTGGATTAGGAAGTATTTGCTTGCCAGTAAATAAATTTCAAAAGTTTCAAAGTACCAAAACAATGTTTAACCTTTAGTAGTAAAATTTTTTTTACCAAATTTCATAAAAACACATAAAAAAACATTTTTACCTGTCCTAAAACGTTGCTGCTAGAGTAAATCAATTGTTTTTGTGTACAGGCTGTAACTTCCAGCTGTTTTGATCCTACTTCTCCTTGGTTAATAACATATTCGAAACTTTCATCAAAGGTAGGATTTACGTTATCTTTGATTACCTGAAAATAAACATTTCTGTAAAAAATAGTTTATAAGTCTGTCATATGTTTTTAGATTAAATAAAAAACAGAAAAATACTGCAAGGGGCTGGACAATTTATAAGTAAAAAGTTGTATAGTACGACTGTTTTAACATATTAGCTGTTCAAGTGTTAAACGCTGTTCCTCAAAATATCGTACAGACTTTAGATTCGTCAGAAAATCTGTAGCTTGTATGTATATAACACAGTATTATTGTATAACACACCTTCAATTTTAATACAGAATCTGTGAGCTTCAGCTTTACCGTCGTTAAATCCCTGGAGCAAATATTCATCGACGGCAGTACTTAAAAATGTCGTTTAACTTTTATGTAGATCCTCGGGACTTCAGCAGATCGGCTATATATAACATCTCAACTTATGCCAGATAGACGCCTTATTTTGCCCTTGTAAACACACGGCTGTTGTGCACACACACAAAGCCACATCAGACCTTCTCATAGCAACAATAAGTTTTGTCGAAGCTGCCAAACTATGCTAGAGGTTTACTTGCAGGATTCTGCTTGGAGCCATCGAGATCTCTGATGGTTTTGTTGCTCAGTATCTTTCTCGGGGGCGCGGGTGAGAACCCGCGAACCATGGAGGGCTTGGACGTACTATTCTAATCGACTACATTTAAGTCTGCTCCCTCCCACAGGCACTTCATAGTCCTCATCATCTCAGTAGTACACTTTTATGGAAAGGGTACATGCGCTAAACGATGTTTTATGTAACTGCTGAAGTTGATTCTGACTTCATATATGAGCATTATTCATTGCTTGTAACAGTTTGTTGAAGATCAGATCTGCTTGAGCCTGATCTAGTTGAAGTATCATGATGGCTGCTATGAACCACCGCCATCCTTAATACTTTTGTTACATTGCTATATGACCTAGTTTGCTCATTAGAGACCCTTGGTTTTTAAGCGATATTTTGTTGCGGGAGGGGAAGAGGTAATGATGTTGTGGAAGTCTTTTTTTGTCCACAAGGGAACTAAATTCCTGTAGCTGGCTGTATACCATGGATTACAAAAAATGTATTTAAAAATTCCTTTGTAAAAGGTATAATATTAAAAACCTTTTTAATATTGTTCTGAAGCTATTTTCTTGTGGCATTTTAAATTAATTGCTATTTAACTGGGAATAAGCCACAATGAAAGATAAAAATACGTTTATTAACGTTTCAATTTCCACTTTGGAAATCGTTCTTAAAATACAAACAGTAAATTAAACAAATTTTGTTTTTTGTTACATAGTAAAAAATTCTTCTAATAATTTAATTTTATCTGACTCATTTATATTGACAATTCAGATATACATTATGCATTTTAAAGTAGACGACTTTAAAATGATATTGCCAATATTGTTGAGTTGCGCTCCTGGGACGACTTTACTTATAAGATAGTTCATTCGATTACATGAAATCAACTTTAACTTGAGAATATCCGTCAGAAAAAATCATAGTATGTAATTCGTCTTTAAAAAGACAAACACATGACATGATGACAGTAAAATTCTCCTGTTAGTGATTCCACAGTAAATTATGAGGGAAAAACCAGGAAAAAATTCGTGCAATTAGTTTACCTTCAATAAACACCAAAATTCTGATTTTATATATTTCGTTATTTAAAAAACATAATTGATGTATCCTCTATATGTTATTGACTTACTAATACTGCTATTTTCTTATTAATAACTTACTCTTTCAATATTGGTAACCAGATCCTATTACATTCTGCCGAGGAATTTGACACAATTGGCCTCATTTAGCATAATTAAAGCCGCTTCTTTGATTTTTCTTTTTTTACCATCCGTCTTTTTTAGGACTACATTTGAATTATTCCGTTGAACCCTATGTTCATTATCCCATGCGTGTTTACATATTTGAGATCTAACAAATTCTCTATTTTCAATATAAGATTGATGTTCACTTATTCTAACATTTAATGGCCTTGATGTTTCACCTAAATAAAACTGATCGCATTCACAAGGTATTTTATAAATGCAATTCTTTGTCCTTTCTTGTTCATCGTTAGGTTTGGTTTTGGACAAAATAGATCTCAACGTGTTTGTTGTTTTGAATGTTGTTGAAATGTTGAATTTATTGCCTATCCTTTTAAGTTTTTCTGATAATCCTTTTATGTACGGTATTGTTATTTTCCTCGTATTATTTCTTGTGTATGCTGTAGGATCTCGTTCTAAGTTGTTCTGTTCTATTCGATCGATTGTTGAAAATTCCTTATTTATAAACGATAAAGGATAATCAATCATTTTTTAATAAAACAGATGTTAACAAATGTTTCTCCTCCAAGAACGAATTTTCGTTAGAACAAGTAATTTTGGCTCTATCGTATAAAGATTTAATTATTCCCTTTTTTACATTAATATTGTGATTTCATTTGAAATTTAAATATCTATTGGTGTGTGTTGGTTAATGAAACGTCAATAAACGTATTTTTATCTTTAATTGTGGCTTATTCCCAGTTAAATAGCAATTTACCTTTTTAATATTAAATTTTTTATAAAGGAGTTTTTAAATAAATTTCTTTTATGTAGATGTGTAGATTTGATGTAGTCTCAACAGCTATTTTTGTCTCCGTCTTCATCCTCTTTTGTTAAGCTCCAGAAAGGCGCTTCTTGACACTGGTTCTTTTGAGTCTGTTCCTCTAAGAACACTTTCCGGTTGAGTATTTGGGGCGGAGATGGAATCAGCGACTGGAAGTCACTGTTCTGATCATTCAGGTTGTATTTGTATAAGTTGGAACGAAATACTGTCAGGCAGGGTGATGCATACTGATACATATAGATTTACACATAAATATACAAATAAATACTTACCTGAGTTTTTCTCTTTGTGTCACGAGCTCTTTCTGGCAAGAGATACAGTTTAACGTATGGATCGGGTATATTCGAGGGATCTTTAAGAGGTATATTCCTAAAAAATATGAACAAATAACTTTGAAAGCATCCATTTAATAAAAACTTACATGATTTTATGGACCACAACAATAAGTCGTTGTCTTTGGACACTGTAGCGAAGTGTAAGTTGAATGCGACCAAGACCGGCTTCACCAGCGGAACTGAAAGAGTAGAAATAAATAATTAAATGTTATGTCATTCCTCATAGTGACAACGGTACCACGGAATAATAAACAATTACTACGGAGCCATAGAAATACGTGATTTGTAGCCTTCTTAAATTTTTCTATATAACCGTAAGTCCTCACAAAAAAGTAAAAACTAAAGAATCACTAAAATACGAGTAACATTGTACAGAATGCTGATAGTCCTGATTCTTAAATGTGGATCAAATGCAATCAAATAAATCTATCTTTAATGGGTAGGGCATGTAGTTTGGGCTCTATAATCAAAATTTATTAAAATAATCACAATTTCACAGCTGGTGGGTACGAGAAAACTGATTAGACCTAAGCTCAGGTTAATAGACGGAGTAATGCAAGATACTGAGAAGATAGCAATTTTGATCTGCTGCAATTTTTTAATAACATATTTCTGTGTGGGGTGCATCGAGCAATAAGACAAAAGAGGGAATGTAAAGGTAGTGGGGGTAAACATATTGATAGACAGGAAGTGCTATTTTGAGAGGCCACTTTAAACAAGGAAAGAGAATCTCTTTCCTTGTTTAAGAAATCAAATTTAGTTGGGTTATGTTATTGTTGATGTTATTGTTCGTCAAAACTGTCACATGAAAGCTTATTTATATTTTCTATTGAAGTTTTTTAACAATTGTTTAACATTTTAGACTATTATCTTTATTAATTAATTAAAACTTTATTGTGTTCTAGTGTTAAAAAAAGTATTTTAATAAATAATATTAATAAATAAATAGATAAGTATATAATATAAAATATTATGTAATATAAAATAAATAAATAGATAAATTAGAACCCCTACACCAGTGTATGATTATTGTCAAGTGTCATGAAATTTAAATTTGGCGCATTTGTATTTCCGGATATGTCCGCCATCAGAGGCCACTTTTTTGTTCTCCTTTTCATAACGATTAGATTCCCTCTTTTGTCTTATTGCTCGATGGTGGGGTGATACCATATTTATAGATAAAAATCGACATTTTGGGTTTGATTTCAATGGATTCACAGTAGCCATTAAAAAGATAAAACATTTAGTTTCAAAGCAGCAACTTCTGCAGCCGAGCATTATTTCTGTACATACATTCTCAAAAATATTAATAATTACGATAAGTAAAAAAAGCAGTTACTAAACATATTGAAAAATTAAAAACTTGAAATAGAATATATGTGATCACTGAAATATAAGCTGTATAACCTTAATCAATGCTACATGAGGATGAACAGGGTAGCAGAAAATACTTACGATGTTATGCTTGGCGTTCTATGATAGAGAAGCTCTGAGCCATCTAATGGTTGCGCAGCACCAAGGGGATTTAATGAAGAATCTTCTAAAATCTCTTCAACTGGTGCTTCTTGATCTTGATCTATAACTGGTTCAATTTCATCCAGATTTTCTTTTGATTTCGTCAAAACGGCATTTGAGCTTTCTAAAATAAAATGCAACAAAGATTATATATTTTGTGTAGGACGAAACTGATTCTAGAATAGAGAGAAACGCTAGTCTATTTTTAGATTGAAGACATTTTAGAAGTGGTAGCAGAAAATGCTAACATTCATACTAACTTTGTTACCACATAATTAGAATCGGTAAATCAGTCATTTTCGTGATTTTGATAGTAATTCATAGTCATTATCCACTACTATTTGTTAAACATCCCCCCAAGGATCATTTTTTATGCAAATTTAAATAAAATGACATTTTATATATTTTAAACTTATATAAAATATAAGTACGAATAAGGAAAAGAATGTGTATTCGATTAAGTATGTTGGTATTATATCCTCTTAGTAAGACGATCTAAAAAAAGTCTGTGCGCCACTGAACTCTTCCATAATCTATCAAAAGCTCCAAAAAAATGTTTTTTTAATAAAGACGATATACATATAACCCTAATATTGTTCTGAAGCTATTTTCTTGTGGCATTTTAAATTAATTACTATTTAACTGGGAATAAGAAACAATTAAAGATAAAAATACGTTTATTGACGTTTCAATTTCCACTTCGAAAATCGTTCTCAAAATACAAACAGTAAATTAAACAAATTTTGTTTTTTGTTACATAGTGAAAAATTCTTCTAATAATTTAATTTTATCTGACTCATTTATATTGACAATTCAGACATACATTATGCATTTTAAAGTAGACGACTTTAAAATGATATTGCCAATGTTGTTGAGTTGCGCTCCTGGGACGACTTTACTTATAAGAGTTCATTCGATTACATGAAATCAACTTTAACTTGAGAATATCCGTCAGAAAAAAATCATAGCATGTAATTCGTCTTTAAAAAGACAAACACACGACATGATGACAGTAAAATTCTCCTATTAGTGATTCCATAGTAAATTATGAGGGAAAAGCCAGGAAAAAAACCTCATAATACTATTCCGACATGGTATTTGTTCGTGCATTTAGTTTACCTTCAATAAACACCAAAATTCTGATTTTATATGTTTCGTTATTTAAAAAACATAAATGATGTATACTCTATATGTTACTGACTTACTAATACTGGTATTTTCTTATTAATAACTTCCTCTTTCAATATTGGTAACCAGATCCTACTACATTCTGCCGAGGAATTTGCGACACAATTGGCCTCATTCAGCATAATTAAAGCCGCTTCTTTGATTTTTCTTTTTTTTTTTACCATCCGTCTCTTTTAGGACTACATTTGAATTATTCCATTGAACTCTATGCTCATTATCCCATGCGTGTTTACATATTTGAGATCTATCAAATTCTCTATTTTTAATATAAGACTGATGTTCACTTATTCTAACATTTAATGGCCTTGATGTTTCACCTAAATAAAACTGATCGCATTCACAAGGTTTTTTATAAATGCAATTCTTTGTCCTTTCTTGTTCATTGTTAGGTTTGGTTTTAGACAAAATAGATCTCAACGTGTTTGTTGTTTTGAATGTTGTTGAAATGTTGAATTTATTGCCTATCCTTTTAAGTTTTTCTGATAATCCTTTTATGTACGGTATTGTTATTTTCCTCGTATTATTCCTTGTGTATGCTGTAGGATCTCGTTCTAAGTTGTTCTGTTCTATTCGATCGATTGTTGAAAATTTCTTATTTATAAACGATAAAGGATAATCATTTTTTAATCAAACAGATGTTAACAAATGAACAAATTCGTTTTTGGAGGAGAAACATTTGTTAACATCTGTTTTATTAAAAAATGATTATCTTTTATCGTTTATAAATAAGGAATTTTCAACAATCGATCGAATAGAACAGAACAACTTAGAACGAGATCCTACAGCATACACAAGGAATAATACGAGGAAAATTACAATACCGTACATAAAAGGATTATCAGAAAAACATTTTTTTCTGACGGATATTCTCAAGTTAAAGTTGATTTCATGTAATCGAATGAACTATATTATAAGTAAAGTCGTCCCAGGAGCGCAACTCAACAATATTGGCAATATCATTTTAAAGTCGTCTACTTTAAAATGCATAATGTATGTCTGAATTGTCAATATAAATGAGTCAGATAAAATTAAATTATTAGAAGAATTTTTCACTATGTAACAAAAAACAAAATTTGTTTAATTTACTGTTTGTATTTTAAGAACGATTTCCGAAGTGGAAATTGAAACGTCAATAAACGTATTTTTATCTTTAATTGTGACTTATTCCCAGTTAAATAGTAATTAACATATAACCCTGTCGTTATTTTTTCGATAATCGACATTTTTTAGTAATCGCCCTGTATCTCACTAATGTTATTGATGCGGTGATGCATTTCTGGTATTGATGATGCATGCTATTAATAATTTGATTGAAAAATCGTTACTTTAACGAAAAAAAAGTCATGACATATTAACTATTCTTTTCTACACCCTCCACTTTTCGGTATACCCTGCAAATCTTAACAATTTGGGACACCCTGTACATAGCCAATATTTAACATAAAACATATAATGTACATTACCTACAGAAGATTTCGAAATGTTGGAAATACTTCTTTTAAACCTGTCTGTATTATCAAGTTGTGCGTCTTCTGTAGCTGTAGCTTCGGCTTGTTTCAGGATCTACAAAATTTAAATGATTAAAATTTAAATTATGATAAAGTTTAAGAGCACAAACATGTCTGATAAAATCGATTTAAAAAATGATCATCAGACCAATAATAACATACGCGGGAGAAACACGATCTGATACAGAGAATTCTTACAATGTGCCCCTTTTTGTACTTTACCTAAACGCATAGTGTCCTTAACGATTAAACAAAAGTTGGGTTTATCTGTGGGGAAATTAATGCAAACAGTGTAGTATTCGGCCGCGTTCGGTGAACAAAACTTCTTTAAATCTTGCAGGTCCTTATATTTTTCAGCAGATATTGGCAAGACATCTTCATAGGCAGATCCGGGTAGTACGAATTCAGTACCATGTATATTCTTTATGCGTCTTTTGTTTCTTCCAGCGATAGGGGCCTGTTCCCACACTCCATTGTATGTTGAACGGAAGTAGATGTTAGTGTTTAAATTAGTAATTTTTAGTTCCTTTATCGGTCGTGATGGAAATGTTGATTTCTTGGCATATATCGTCTCAAGATGGGATGTCCAATTTCGAAAAAATGAATGGTCAACATTAATTACCTCAAGTCGCGTCGGTGTTTGACGAGCATCCTTAACTACCTCAATCCAATCGTCATGAACCTTTGTCCTAGTTGCAGATTTGATAAGTCCCATATGTTTATCGCAATCTAAGTATGGGTGCCCTCTTACTGGAAATGTCATCATTACAGATTCCAACTTTTTTTCTACATGAACTAAATGATGAAGGAACCGAAACATTGTAAAATTTTTTTTGGCCACTGCAAGAGTCACAAAAGATACATGTTTTGTATTTCATAGCATAATATTGTACACGAAGTGGTGAACAAGAGAACAAACGTCATCACTACATTTCTTCCCCTCTATTTCTGGATACATGTAGAAGATACTTTGTGATGTAGCCAGTACGTGAATATTAAATACGTGTTCAGAAAATTGCCTTTTATATAGGCATCACTAGTTTGAATGTTAGGTACTGAAAGATTTTTTCCGTAATCTATGCAGATTCTGAAAAATTTGCGTTATTTCTACTGTTAACTCGAGACTGTCGTTTTCTGTCATAGAAAGTGCCTGCTTTTAGTTTATGTATTTTGTTTTCTATATGTAATTTTTGAATCTCACAATCAATGGATGCTGAGCGATTCGGATGATTTGTACCTTTTTTTTTCAACGTCTAATGCTTTAACTTTAATTCGATATTCATCACATACACTACAAGTATCTGTTCGTGGATAATCAAAACTTATATTAAAATCTGTGCAGAATATACTCCGGTATGTTTCATAATATACTGTCACGTCTTTGTTGTCCTCTAGAAACAGCCTGCACATTTTTTTACGTTTAATTCTTCTGGTAGATACAGCTTCGTTGAGTCGTGAAGACTATAATGGCTGGTCTGTCCCTTGAATGAGTTGATGTGTCCGCGTACTTTACTTTTAACTTCGTCGTCAAATCTGTGGTGGTTTCCATGTTTTCCCCTTTTATCACTTCGGGCGATCCCTGCTTTTTTTTTAGACTACTGACTAAATATTCAATTTTTTTCTTAGTTATATAATGAATCGACATAAAAGCTTTCTTACATACGGTATTCTCTGTCGCCTGAGACTCTATCATTGCTTGTTCTGGTATTTGCTAGAAACACTTCCTTTTAAAGTCATAGGATAGTTGCGGTTAATGACTCGCGCGTTTTATTTTTTTTACAACGTCTGCCATCCGTCCATCTGACTTTCTTTTCTTGGTTTTTGGCTCTACACGCACTCCCAGACTATCAATACTAGTTTCATTACTTATTTTAATTCTTACGAACACTATTTTAGCTAAACAACACAGACATCAAAAACGTATAATCTCTCTTCAAAGAATGCGCAAGAGTAAATTATGACGCAACAATAAACACTTGTTACTGAAAGTATGGAGAATTTCTCAGAAAGTCAGGTAATGGGCGCGTTCTTTCGCAGAACACACATAAACAGCCCCTTCTATCGCTTTTTAGCCTGCAATCTGCCCCTTATTTACTAATTTGTATCGCAGTGAGCACCTTTTATTCCTGTAAGGGATTATAATTTCATAAAATATAAGCTTAATGAGCCCCGTTTATCAACTTTTAAAAGCACTGGATGATTCGCTATAAAATTTGAAACAACATAGCATAATAAGGTGTAAAACTCAAAAAATGTCGATGAGCCCCTTTTATTCCTGTACACTTCATTTATTTGTGTAGAATTGATTAAACTGAAAAGCAAATCTATTAAAAAACATAGTAAATAATAATAAAAAAATAATAAATATTACATACAAAAATACATTAACTTACCCTAAGATGCATTGACCAGATAACTTTACTCTCAGGTCCAGATCTTATCAACGAAAATGGTTCTTTGCTCATCACCATATTAGGTTTAGTAGCCAATGTTTTGATCTTAAAGTGAAGCTGGCCTATTTCGGAGGATGTCTTGTGATCCATTATGCTTAGAAATAGTGTATCGTTTTCTGGATTGGTAACCAGGAACGTGAAACCTTGCTCCCATACAGGGTGGACCGTCCTCATTAAAACTTTTGTTTGTTGGGAATCGTTTCCTACTCTTACAATGGCATATGGATCTGGTTTCGTTGACATTCTAGCTTGCTAAAGAAATAAACAAAAATGATTAATATTATGACAACAAGGTGCTTGTGTAACTTACAGGTAAATTCTTACAGGAATCCAAAAATAAAGTAACTAGAGCTGTGTGTAAGTTTGAGTTTCTCAGCATTTGTGTTTCAGTCAAAGTCTAAAACATAAAACACTAATTTATATTAATTGTTTATGAAACTGTGCGAATATATATTCAGTATTCTCTCTAATACAGCAATAATCATAATTGTAGAAGACGTTTTTGTTAGTGACATTGTTACGAGGGGGTGTCCTCAGGGAGGGATGCTATCACCACTCCTCTGCAACGTAGTACTAGATACCCTCGTTGACCAATCAGCACCAGCCGGTTTTACACAGTAGCCTATGCAGACGATTTTGCTGCCGTGCAAAGCGGTATACGAATAACTCACAAATTAAAGCAAAAGGTTATAGGAAATGCTAGAAAAATAATAAAGTAACATAAAATAACATTTCATTACTATACTCAAATATAGATTGTTCCATTTAAGAAAATACTTATTAAAAAAACTATATTAAAAAATGTTTAAACATAAATAGATTTTTTGATGCCAATTCTCTACATACACGGTATTAACAGGTCAGTCGAAAACTGTCATGACTTTGTAAATACAGAAAAATAGCTAAGAAACTTCTAGAGGCCGCAGGAAATTAGGGATTACAGATAAATATAATTAAAACAAAATACATGGAGCTGAAGAATAGGCAAAAGAAAAGCAGAAAACTAAAAATCGAAATTGCATTAGGGAGAGAAATTCTGGAAATTGAAGAGGTGGAGGATTACATGTATCTGGTAGTTCTTATGACAGATAATTGCGAAGAAGAAAAAGAAATAGATCTACGAATAGCAAAAGGAAACAGGTATGCAGGCAGTTTGCAAAGAATAATAAAATCGAAAGAGGTATCAAGAAATACAAAAAAACTATAACAAAAAATTGAAATATGGGAACAAAGTATATTAAGAAGAATTTTTGGAGAACAGTTGACGGAAATGGGATGGGAGCGAAGAACAAATGCTGAAATTTATGAAATGTTCGGCGAAGGAAGAATAAGCAATTTTGTCAAAGTCAGAAGATTGCAGTCGCGAGGTCATCTTGTTAGAATGGAGGGCAGTAGAGAGGTAAATAACATAGCATGGAGAACAACGGAAGATAAGAGAAAAAGAAGCAAACTGAGAAGAAGATGGGGCGGAAGCAGTTGCGGAAGATCTACAAGAAAAAAAGAAAATTGGAGAAAAGATGCTAGAGACAGAAGGAGATGGAAGACAATTACTAAGCTACGGGCCTGAAACAGCCAGCTATAATTTTTATATATAATTTAGGTAAAAATCAATTATTTATAACTACCTAGATGACTTAGAGTAATTTATTATAGATCAATAGAAATTTACGACCAGAATCAAATCTTCTAATTATAAATTAAAATTAAAAGTTTTACTTACGGCATCTAGATCTGAATATTGTTTGCTGAGAGTGTGCCATGTAAATCTAAGATGTACCATTCCGTGTTTTGCTTGTTCTAAAGTAACCCACTGTAAACAAAATACGCAATTACTATTTGTTTTTACCACAATTACAGCTAATACTCACCATATCATCATGACCTTTCTTTACTATATTAGAAACTTCAATAGTAGCCCTAAAATTGTTTATTATATTAATATTTGTCGGTGTTATAATTATTTATTAAGTAGAAATAAAACCAGATACTTTTTTGATTTCCATACGATTTTTCCTTGTGATTTAGATAATAAAAAATGCTTGTCCGCCAAAATGTTTTTTGCAACAAAAGAATTATGAATATATGCAAATGCGTTAAGTGTTTCTTCACAAAATCCAGAAAAATATCACCATATCAATTCTCCTTCTCATTCATTGTGTCCTTGTCAGGACACCTTGATAGTCTAAATATCGATAGCTTGCTGCCTCCATTGGTTACGATTCTGTGTCAAATAAACGGCTGCATGTAGTGACTTTCCCACCACAGTCTTCATTTGGTGTGCTCATTTCGTTAAAGATCCTGCTCTCGGTCTTCGGCTGTCTACCTTGCTTTGTTGCATAGTCAACGTTTCAACAATAATTTAAAAGAGTTTGTGACAAATTTCATTCCATTTAACGAACGTATGATGCTACTTCAGCTTAAAGCCAAACCTCTAAACATAAATATAATCCAGGTGTATGCTCCAACATCTGATAGCAATGATGGTGAGGTCGAAAAATTCATCGCGAACTTAGAGCTGTTAACAAAAAACATAAAGAAGCAGGAGGTAAAAATAAACATCAAAAACCTAAAAGACGACAACTACCAACAGCAACTAAACGCAGAGATAAATAAATTAACTGAAGGAAATGTGGAATGGAGAGATATGAAAAAAGCCATACTAAAAGCGGGAAAAGAGGTCCTAGGCGAAGAAGAGAAAACCACTAAAAAAGACTGGATGACATCAGAAATAGTTGAGCTAATAACTGAAAAAAGAAAATACAAAAATAAAGTTGGAAATAAATATAAAACCATCAAGAATAAAATCAAATATGAAATCAGAAAGGCTAAGGAGGAATGGATGAACAAGGAATGCCAGGAACTGGAAGAACTCAGCAACAAACATGGCACCTCAAACTTAATACTGAAACAAAAACATAAAAATGAAAGAACTTATAGGCAACAGCAGACAAAGAAGAACACTCATAACAAGAGATAATAATGGAGGAATACTTATATTATACAACATAATAATAATAATAATAATAAAGCAAAACAAACAAGATATAGGTAAAGAAGAAGAATACCTACAAATTTTACCCTCAGAAGTAAAGCATGCCTTACAGAATGCAAAATAAGGAAAAACACCGGGTCCTGATCAAATTACAGTTGAACTGTTAAAAGCCTTATGTGACGGTAATATAAAGAGACTCACCCGAATTCTCAACCACATATATGTAGAGATCAACATCCCGGAGGAATGGCTTAAATCGAAATTTTTACCTCTACCAAAAAACAACAATCCCAAATCATGTAAAGACTATAAATTGATAAGCCTAATGTGCTACCCTTTAAAGATTCTGAAAATTTGAAAACCGAATGTATAAAAAATGTGAGGAGCGGACAGATCAAACGCAGTTTGGCTTATCCGAGGCAGCATGTCGTTTAAAGGTGTGGGAAAGTTACATTTTATCGATGTGATTGTAAACGCGGACAAATATTTGAATATTTTAGAAGAATCTCTTTTACCGATTATGAAACACCGTTTAACATCAGCGGAAGATTTTGTCTTCCAACAGGACGGCGCAGGTTGTCATATCTCAAAAAGAGTTTAAAATGGATTGAAGACAATTGCATACCTCTTCTGGAAAGGGTTTCTAACAGTCCCAACTTGTCCCCGATTTGTGGCGCGAAATGAAAAATTTTTTGAGAAAACATCCTGCCAGGTCCGTCAATGAATTGAAGGAACAATTTCAAGAAATATGTGATTCGTTTACATTAGAAAAAAACTATGCCTCGAAGAATTGTGGATGTCATTAAAAATAAAGGGGATGTAACTCAGAGGTAAACTAAAAATATTACATACTCCATGCGTTTTTTTAATTTATTATAATAATAATAGTCTCCCGTTTTATACCGCACGCGGCTTTGGGAGTATAGCAGGGTAGTCTGCTATATCTAGGGCCTACGGTATACAAGGAAGGTAACATGGCCAATGCTACGCTTCAACCGCCTATTATTACCCTGGTTTTACCCAAGGTACTCATTTTATTCAGGCTGAGTCGACCTGGGGCCTATAGACATTTTAAAAATGCCTAGTTGTTCTTGCCGGCGGTAGGATTCGAACTCACGACCACCGGCATGCGAGGCAAGCACACTACCGCTTGCGCTACGCAGGCCCTTAATTTAATTTATTTATAAATTTATTATTATTATGTTTAATTAATAGTTTTCATTACGTTACAAAATATTTTCTATAATTAGGAAATTCAAAAATGTTGTTCGATGCATTAAAACTTCTAAAATTTACGCTGCTCTTTTATTTTTGTTCTCTAAAATTTAATTTTCTTCTCAATCCAACGCTGGGCTAACTGATATGTGAAGGGGCTCGTATAACAAATTATACCCAATACTATCCAATGTTTAATAATGGACATGGAACGAAAAGAAGAAGAAGAGAAGAATTTAAGTGACATATGGCACTTTAAAAGAGTTGGTTAATATTGTATATTTTAAACATTTAAATTAATATTTTTTCCAGATCACTTCCTTAAATTTTAGGCCAAATGGTGTTTCATCTATAACATATTTTTTTAAATCGGTGATAATTTCGTGGATTTATTACTTTGACTAATTCTTTTGCAGATTTTAGCAAATATTTTAGCAACATATACATACTTCGATAACAAAAATAAAATGATATTTTATCAAAAATATTTCGGGTAGTATTTCCGACAGGAATCCACAGCTGATAAAAAGTTATGATAGAGGTTATATATGCAGACTTGCATCATTTGATCAAATCGCAAATTTTTTTCTATAAAATCAACGTTTAAAATAAGTTGAGCATAGTTTAGAGTGTACACTTTCGCTAATAAAAATTAAATAAAGCAATTAGGGGTTAGGCAGTTGAATAAATAATTATTAAAATAAAAATAAAATGTGCATATTGTTTTAGAGTAAATACTTCAGTGTTCATTCTTGTACAAGTTGTACAAAATCTTATTTTTATGTAGACATGCCTCTGTTAGATGGACAGAGGCATGTATACATCTGTTATCTGTCAAAATGACAGATAACAGATGGACAAAGCGGATACTGGAATGGAGACCAAGAAATGATGCCTACCGAAGCAGAGGTCGTCCACCAATACGTTGGACTGACGATCTAAAACGTTGTCATAGGAATTGGATGCAAGAGGCACAAGATCGGAATTTCAGTTTATTTGATATCACATTGTTTGTTAACTTTAATTGTGTTTAATAAATTAATTCCTCTGTAATTTTCCCGGTCCGATTTGTCTTCCTTTTTAATGAGATGTTTTAGGATGCTTGGAAATTGTTTTTATGTATGTGTAATGAGAAATTACTTTAATGTTATACGGAACTTGAAATTTGAACTCTAAGCTGTTATAAGTCCGTAGAAAACAATACAAGAAAGTACATACGGAACTATTAAAGATTTACTTCACATAAGGTATTTACCATTTCTAAATGAGCCCCCCCAACCGAAAAAGTTATGATGATCTCTTTTAGCTTTCTGCTCTTCAAGATGTGGCTGCTCCCTTTTCTGTGTGAGACTGGATCGAGCAGACAAGAGGAGACGTTGTGTGGAGCAATGGTGTATTTGCTGGTAGAAGCAAGGATGGGAGGCAGTTGAATTGCATTTCATTACTCAGTGGAGGATATCCATTTCTGTTACTACTGAGCTCTATGGGTTTTTTTGGGACGGCCCTTGGATCAGTGTTTTTGGATCAAGTTTAGACGCTTAAATCGCAGAAATGGAACTTTAAATTGAAGAATATTTTCGTATCTGTTGCTGAGGATAGGGAAGACGGTGTTATAGACTGTATACGGTACAGGCGTTAGAATTAAGCCCTGTGAAACTCCTGCGTGAGAAATGACAGATGTAGAAAGTTTGTCAGCAACTTTGACGCTCACAATTCGAGGAAAGAGGTATGAGCGAATTATTTGTAGAAAAGTAATAACAACCAAGGCTTGGCACGCATCAAGAAGCTGTAAATTCTACTACCCTTGTTAAATAATCACTAGAGAAAGATCCATGGTTAACGAAACCACTGTAATTCACAACCTAATGTTCATTAAATATCTTTCGTCTCCACTTTGTCGAAATAATAATCGATCTAATCAAACTATTTTGATCGAAGGCTTGCTACCAATCATATTACTATTTTAATCATATAATATACATACAAGAATAAAAGCTTCTGGTTTTATCTCCACTGAAAAACAAGCTATGCTTAAAAATTCATCAACACTTGCTTTACTAAGCGTTTAAATGATAATGTTTGTTAAGTGATCAGAAATTGTTATTTAATTCATATTATATATATATATATATATATATATATATATATATATATAAATATATATATATAATAATAATACTGTCTTATATAAAAATAAGACAGTATCACAGTTGTTTGGTTAAATTGAGACATTTCGCAAAAAACTTGATCTTTTCGAGAACTGCATGAAAATAAACGACCTCACACATTTTCCTACGTGTTACGAAATAAATCAAGAAGAAACCATGGTCGATTTCTCGAGGTTTGCAAAAGTTCTTACAAAATAAAAAGAGAATTCGATGAAAGGTTTTCGGAATTTAATGCATTAAAACCCGATCTTGAGCTTTTTAACAATCCAATGGGAGTCAACATCCAGAACAAATCAGCAGAATACGAATTAGAGTTGTGCGAACTACAGTTCGATTCGTTTTTTCAAGCAAAGAAAAATGAAGACATTAATACATTTTGAAAGTTAGTCTCCAAGGATCGTTTACCTAAACTTCGTAACGTATTATGTAAAAGTACATTTTCTGCATTGAAGCATATTAAATCTAAAACACGTAATCGCATTGAAAACGATTCTCTGGAAGCGTATATTAGACTCACTACGACTCGCATAGATATCTATATG